AGACCCACAAAGGGGGGTTCAGGGGGAAGTGGAAGGGTGAGGACACCCTCACACCCCATGGTGGGAATTGGGGTTTGCCCCCCCCAAGACCCCCACTTACCCGGCAGTTGTGTTGCGCCTGCTCCAGGCTGGCTGTGAAGTGGAGGCAGCGGCAGGGGACAGCAGCGGCGCGGGCACAGGCCACATACCTGGGGACATAGGGGTCATATATGGGTCCCATAGGGCCATCTATGTGTCCTATGGGGTTATATGGGGCTATAGAGATCACATAAGGCCATGGAGTCATACAGAATGGGGTTTATGGGATCATAGAGGTTATATGAGGTCATTCAGGGTCGTAAAGCATCACGTAGGGGTTCTATGGGGTCATACAGGGTCACATAGAGTTTCTTTGGGGTCATACAGCATCACATAGGGTTTCTATGGGGTCATACAAGGTCACATAGGGGTTCTATGGGGTCATACAGGGTCACATAGGGGTTCTATGGGGTCACACAGCATCACACAGAGGTTCTATAGGGTCACACGGGTTCTGTGGGGTCATACAGGGTCACACAGGGGTTCTGTGGGGTCATACAGGGTCACATGGGGGTTCTATGGGGTCACACAGGGGTGCTGTGGGGTCATACAGGGTCACACAGGGGTTCTGTGGGGTCATACAGGGTCACACAGGGGTTCTATGGGGTCATACAGGGTCACACGGGGGTTCTATGGGATCAGGGGTGGTTCTGGGGCCCCCCCTGTAACCTCTGTCGTGACTCAGGGTCGGGGTTCGTGTTGTCGATGGCAACGGAGCGGCCCTGAGCCAGAGCGGCCTCGCAGGCGGCAACACAGGACTGCCAGGAGCCCAGCGTGTCCTATGGGGCACCAGGGGTCACATGGGGTCGCATATGGGTCACAGGGGGGGTCATGGGGGGGTCACATGACCACACTCACCCGGTTGACGTAGACGTATCCCGCGGGAACAAAATGGGTCTTCAGGAAGGTCGACTTCCCAGCTGGGTCAAAGGTCAGGGGGCAGGTTGGGGGGCACAAGTCAGGGGTGGGGGAGTTCAAAGGTCATTGTTGGCGGTCAGAGGTCACAGATGGGGTCAGAGGTCACTCACCCCCAGGGTACCCCACGGCCACCACCACCTCGGGGCTGGAGCTGATGAGGGGCTCATCGGGGGGGTCATAGAGCGGTGCTGAGGGGTCAAGCTGCCGCTGCAGGGTCAAAGGTCAGTGTCAGGAGGGCAAAGATCAAGATCATGGATCACCCACAGGCTGTTGGATGGGGTTACTCACAGGGTCAAAGGTCGGCAGGTCAAAGGGTGCTGGGGCCCAGCCCAGGAAGAATTCCTCTGGGGTGTGGAACCGGAGTCCAGCGTTGATGGCGAACTGGGGGTCAAAGGGCATGGACTGGGGTCAAAGATCATGGACTGGGGTCAAGGGGCATAAAGCAGAGGTCAGGGGGTCTGGTTTGGGGGTATTTGGGGAGTTTTTGGGTCGCACCAATCGGTCACTGCAGGAAAAATCCTTCTTCTTGCGGCCGGGGGCCCAGTTCTGGGGGCGTCCAGCAGCGTCTGGGGGGAGGGACAGGAAAAGGGGGGTATGGGGGGGATGGACCCCCCCAAAACACCCTAAAATACCCCTAAAACAGCCCCAGGTCCCCCCATGGGTTCCCAACCCGCAACTCACCCCCCACGTAGATGCTGTCAGGCACTGACACCGTCACGTCCCCATTGGCCTGTGGGAGAGCCCAAACGAGTGAGCCCCAGTTCAGCCCAGTGCCCCCCAATCCCTTCCCAGTCATTCCCAGTGCCCCTCAACCCCTTCCTAACACCTCCCAGTGCCCCCAGTTACCCCTGCAGCACCTCCTGACACAGATGATCCCACATCCCCAGCACTGGTTTCCGGTACAGCCCTGGCCCCGTCGCCACCAGCACCTGTGGGGGGGGGTGTCACAGAACTTTATGGGGGTCCCCAAAGCCCTTGGGGGAGGTGGTCCCCGTATGGGGGGTCGCACTGACCTGCAGGGCCCCCCCCAGGCACTGGGTCACAGCCTCCACCTTGGCCTTGAACTGGTGGCACTTGAGGCGCCCACGGGAGATGCCCAGTTGGTTGGTGAAGACGACGACCTGGGGGGCGCAATGGGGGTCAGTGGGGTTTGGGGGGGGTTCAATGTGGTTTGGGGGGGGTTCAATGGGGTTTGGGCGTGTCCGGGGGGTTCACTGTGTTTTCGGGGGCATCTCTTACCTTATACCCCTCCCTCTGCAGCTCCTTCAGCTTCCTGGGCACCTCCGGGTACAGAATCCTATGGGAGGAGGGAGTGAATAAATGCACAAACACAGGGGAGCTCCCCAAATCTGCCCCCCCTTCCCCACCCCACTGCCCTGCCAGCCCCCTCCTCACCTCCAGTCATCGGGGCCAGTGGGAAACACCTTCCCGGACTTGGTGGTGATGAGGGTCCCATCCAGGTCAAAACCTGCGATCTGGGGGGGGCAGGGTGGGTTTAGGGGATGCCCCCCACTAAGGGGGGTCCCAAGAGTGTGGGGACCCCCTCTTGAAGGAGCAGCACCCCCAAAATGTGGGGGCTCCTCCCCCCATAGACTCACCCGGGAGCTGGGGATGACGCCAGGGGGGGTGAAGACCAAGAGGGCTCCGTGTTGGCTCCAAGCGTCGTGGGGGGGGGAGGGATGCTTTGGGGGGGAAGGGGAAGGTTTGGGGGGACCCCCCCTGGGTGGGGAGTGCGGGGGGGATGAGGGGGGGCGCTTGGGGGCACGGGGATGGCCCTCGAAGTGGAGCTGAAAGGGGTAAAGGCCATTGACCAAGCAGAGGGTCTGGCCAGGGCGCAGGGTGGCGTGACCCCCCCGGCCCAGCAGGGCCCCCCCCACCGAGGTGGGGTTCACTCCACGCTGTAAGGGAAGGGGGGAAGCATTAAAGGGGGGACCCTCATAACAATGCCCCCCCATAATAAAGCACCCCCAAACTGGGTTTAACCCCTCCCAAATCAATGTGCAGCCCCCAAAATTGGCCTCAGACACCCCCAAAAAGGCCCCCCCCGGTACAACCCCCCCCAAGCCCCACCTGGGTGACCTGGGCCGTGCCCTCAGCGTAGTTGGCCACGATCTCCACTGCAAACGGAGGGGAGGGGGGTAAGAAACAGGGGTCCTGGGGCCCCCCCGCTGCGGGCTATCGGGGGCTGGGGGGGGGGGGAGGCGTTTGATGGGGTCGCTGTGATACCCGGATGTAACCGGGGGTCGCGGGGGGGGGTTTTGGTCGCACCCTGTCCGCGAGAGCACTTCCGGTCGGTGACGCCGGTTCGCGGCCCCCGCCCCACGACCACGGCCTCGCCATCGGGCAGCGGCACCGGCCCGGCCCCGCCGCGCAGCTCACACCGCAGCATGGCCCGCCGGAAGTGACCTGGCCGGGGAGCCTCCGCTTCCGGTCACCTGATACACACACACACACACACACACACACACACACACACACCCCTCTCGGTTCCGCTCCTCAGCACCGGCCCCTGCTCGGCCCCTCACCGCGCTACTTCCGGGTAGCGCCGACGCAAGTTCCGGCTGCCCCTTCCGGTTGGTGATGTCGCCAGCCCGCCCTCTGGCGGTGGAAAGCGGAGTCGGTCCTCCAGGGGTGGCCGAGTCCTCCCGGGGCGGGGGACCGGGGCGGGGGGAACACCGGGACAGCCGGAAATAGACCGGAAATAGACCGGAAATGCCCCATCAGCCATACACAGGTGTCCCCATGACCTTGCCCCCCCCATACACAAGGACCCCCCTCAGCCGCCATCCGGTGCCACCACGTTTATTGCCCCCCGACCCCCCGTTCCCTCTGACCGGGTTCCGGAGGCCGCCGCGGGCGCCGAGAAACACAAGAAGGTGCCGGGGGGTGCGGGGGGGACACAAGGGACAGGGTCCTGGTGCCCCCCTCCTCCCGGTGTCCTTGGGGTCCTTGTGCCCCCCCGCCCCACCTCGGCCCCCTTGTGCACCATCACGTGTCCTTGTGCAGCATCACGTGTCCTTGTGCACCACCACGTGTCCTTGTGCACCATCATGTCCTTGTGCACCATCACGTGTCCTTGTGCACCATCACGTGTCCTTGTGCACCATCACATGTCCTTGTGCACCATCATGCCCTTGTGCACCACCACGTGTCCTTGTGCACCATCACATGTCCTTGTGCACCATCACATGTCCTTGTGCACCATCACGTGTCCCTGTGCACCATCACATGTCCTTGTCCTTGTGCACCACCACGTGTCCTTGTGCACCATCACGTGTCCTTTTGCAGCATCACGTGTCCTTGTGCAGCATCATGTCCTTGTGCACCATCACGTGTCCTCGTGCACCATCACGTATTCTTGTGCACCATCACGTGTCCTTGTGCACCACTGTATGTCCTTGTGCACCATCACGTGTTCTTGTGCACCATCACGTGTCCTTGTGCACCACGTGTTCTTGTGCACCATCATGTGTCCTTGTGCACCATCACGTGTCCTTGTGCACCACTGTATGTCCTTGTGCACCATTGTATATCCTCCTGCATCACCATATGGCCTTGTGCACCATCATTTATCCTTGTGCACCACCATATGTCCTCGTGCATCACCACATGTCCCTGTGCACCATCATATGTGCTGGCGCACCATTGTACATCCTCATGCACCGCCATACGTCCCTGCGCACCATCCAATATCCTTGCGCACCCTCTCTTGTCGTCATGCACCATTGTACATCATGTGCCACCATTTATCCTTGTGCACCCTCATTTATGCCTATGCACCATCATAAGTCCCTGTGCACCAGCGTATGTCCTTGTGCACCATTGCACATCCTCGTGTGCCACCAGACGTCCCTATGCACCATTGTACGTCCCTGTGCACCCTCGCACACCCTTGCTCACTCCCCCATCTCCCCGCTCCCCACCGCACATCCCCATGCTCCATCCTCTGCCCTCCCCCACCCCAATTCCCCCTCCCCCCCCCACGCTCCCCTACCCCTCCACCCTCACACCTCCGTCACCAACCTCCCCCCCACCCACCCCTGCGTGCCCCCCCCCAGCGCCTCCCCGTCCATATCCCCCCCCACCCCCACCCCCACGCCGTTGCCCCCCTTCCCCCCCCCCACGCCGGGGCTGTCGGGGGGGGGCGGGTGGAGGGGGCAGGGCGGCGCTGCCTGGAACTCGCCGCTCTCCTCGGTGCGCAGCTCCCGCCGGTAGAAGTAGCTGAAGTTGGAGACGATGACGGGCACGGGCAGGGAGATGGTGAGGACGCCGGCGATGGCGCACAGGGACCCCACCAGCTTCCCGCCCACCGTCACCGGCGCCATGTCCCCGTAGCCCACGGTGGTCATGGTGACCACGGCCCACCAGAACGCCTGTGGGATGGACGTGAAGGCGGTGGCAGCGTCCTCGGCCTCGGCGAAGTAAACGGCGCTGGAGAAGAGGACGACGCCGATGAGGAGGAAGAAGATGAGGAGCCCCAGCTCCCGCATGCTGGCACGCAGCGTCTGGCCCAGGATCTGCAGCCCCGTCGAGTGCCGCGACAGCTTGAAGACTCGGAACACCCGCACCAGGCGGATCACCCGCAGGATGGCCAAGGACATGGCCGGCTGGCCCAGCCCGCCGCGGCGCGCCAGCTCCGTGCCCAGCGCCACGAAGTAGGGAGCGATGGCCACCAGGTCGATGAGGTTCATGGCGTTGCGGAAGAAAGCCGCCTTGCTGGGGCTGGCCACCAGGCGCACCAGCAGCTCCAGGCTGAACCAGCAGATGCAGATGGTCTCCACCACGAAGAAGGGGTCAGAGAGGCTGCTGCGTGAGGGAGGGGATGGGGACGGGGAGGCGGTGGTGTTGGGGAAGGGGGTGGCAGGGGGCTGGAGGGGAGAGAGAGATGGGGGGTTAGGATATAGAGGTGTGGATGAAGCATCCAGACCCATAGGTCAACCACCCAGACACCCAGATCCATGATCCAGACCCATGGATCTATCATCCAGACCAATGGATTCCTCATCCAGATCCTAGATCCATCACCCAGACCCATGGATCCATCATCCAGACCCCTAAATCCATGATCCAGACGCATGGATCCATCAGCAAGACCAAATGGATCCATCATCAAGAACAATGGATCCATGATCCAGACCCTAGATCGATCATCCAGACCCATAGGTCCACCCCCCAGACACCCAGATCCATGATCCAGACCCATGGGTCCATGATCCGCACCCTAGATCCATCATCCAGACCCTAGATCCATCATCCAGACCCATGGATCCATCATCAAGGCCAATGAATCCATCAGCCACAGTGGGTTAATAGAGGTTACAGCCCATCCTAGATCCACCATGTAGAGTGAGATAATGAAGGTTAAAACCCACCCAGATGCTTGGGTCCACCACCCACTATGGGTTAATGGGCGTTGGAGCCCATCAGGACCCATGGATCCAGCACCCAGACCTATGATCCATATCCCAGAGGAAGAGGAGGATAACAAGGAAGAGCAGGAAAAGGAAGAGGAAGTTGATGGAGATGAAGAGGATGAGGAGGAAGAGAAATGGGTGGATGAAGGCTGGAGGAACAATGCTGCTGCTGGGGAGGAGGAGAATGAGGATGAGGAGGGTGAGGAGCTGGGAAGGAGAAAAAGAAGAGGGGGAAAAAGAAGATTGAGCTGGAGAATATTGATGCTGAGGAAGAGGAGGAGGATGAGGAAGAGGAAGATGAGGGTGATGAAGCTAAGGACCACAAGGAGGAAGGTGGTGAGAATGAAAACGATGGGCACAACGAGCCTGAGGACCAGAAAGGTGTGAATGAAGATGATGAGGTTGAGAAGGAAGATGGAGCCCACGATGATGGTGGGGCTGAGGCCCATGAGGATAAGAACAACAGTGCCAGTGACGATGAAGATGAAGATGATGATGTCAAGGAAGATGTGGGGCTGAGGCCCATAAGGATAATGGTGCCAATGATGCTGAAGATCAAGATAATGACATCAAGGAGGAAGATGATGATGTCAAAGAGGAAGATGACGACCATGATGATGATGATGGGGCTGAGGCCCATAAGGATAATGGTGCCAGTGATGCTGAAGATGAAGATGATGATGTCAAGGAGGAAGACGATGATGTCAAGGAGGAAGACGATGACCATGATGATGATGATGATGGGGCCGAGGCCCACAAGGACGAGGACGATGATGGCCACGATGCTGAGGCTGAAGCTGGGGGGGGCCCACGGAGCCCCCCTTTGCCACATCCCCCCCGGCTCACCTGCAGCGCCCCCTCCGTGCCAGGCCGGAACTGTGGCAGGGTCTCGAGGCAGAAGACCACGATGGACACGAGGATGATGAGCACCGAGAGCAGCGCCACGGCGCGGGCGCCCACCGAGCTCTCGGGGTGCTCGCACAGGAGCCAGGCGCGGCGCTGGAGCCGGCCCCGCGGCAGCGCCTCGGCCGCCTCCACCGGGAAGCCTTCGGCCTCGCGCAGCCGCCCCTCGGCCTCCTCGCCGAGCTGGTAGAACCGCAGCTCCTCCATGAATACATCCAAGGGCACGTCCGGGGGCCTCCGGAGCCGCCCCCCCGATTGGTAGTAATAGAGCACGGCGCCGAAGGCCCCGACGTGGCGGTCGAAGAAGTACTCGCGGCGCTGGGGGTCGAAGTAGCGGCGGCGCCGGTGCGGGTCCCCCAGGAGGGTGTTGGGGAAGCGCAGCAGGGTCCGGCCCAGGGTCTCGAACCGGCGCCCGGCCACGTTGATGGCGACGCGCTCGCAGCAGCCCAGCGGCTCCCCCATGGCCGGTGGCGGGGGCATGTTGGGGGTCTGGAGGGGTTTATGGGGTCGGAGAAGGTTCTGGAAGGTCCTTTTGGTGTCTTTGAGGGGTTTTGGGGTTGCTTTTGGGGTTCTTCCAAGGTTTATGAGGTTGGAGAAAGTTCTGGAAGGTCCTTTTGGGATTCCAGAAGGGTTTTGGGGGGTTCTTTTGGGGTTCTTCCAAGGTTTATGGGGTTGGAGAATGTTCTGGATGGTCCTCTTGGGGTTCTTGAAGGAGCCTTGGACGTTTATGGGTGTTCTTAATGGGTCTGTGGGGTTGGAGAAGGTTCTGGAAGGTCCTTTTGGGGTTCTGGAAGGAGCCTTGGATGTTCTTTGGGGTTTCTTAATGTGTCTGTGGGGTTGGAGAAATTTCTTGGAGGTGGATTTGGGGCTCTTGAGGGGGTCTTGCTGGGCTTCTTCAGGGGTTTATGGAGTTGGGGGACCCTTAAAGTCCTTTGGGGGTCCTTTAGGGGTCTACAGGGTTGGAGGGAGGAGGTTCTTGAAGGAGGTTTTGGGGTCCTTTGGGGGTCCTTTAGGGCTCTACAGCATTGGAGAACCCTCAAGCTCCTTGGGGGTCCTTCAAGGCTCTGCAGTGTCGGAGGAGCTTCTTGGAGGTGCCTTGGGGTCCTTAAGGGCTCTATGGGGTTGGGGACCCTCAGGGTTCTTGGGGCTCCCACAAGGACCCTCCAGCTATGGGGGGACCCTCAAGGCCCTTTGGGGTCCCCCCTCTGTCATCCCCCTCGATCCCTCCAGGGTGCCCCCCCTCCCCTTGCTGTGGGGCTCCTCTCACCAGGTGTCCCCCCCCCCCCCCCACCGTCTCGCTTGGTGTCCCCAAGCCCTGCCCCACGTCACTGAGGGGTGTTCCCAACCCCTGTCACCGGGTGTCCCCGATGTGTCTGTCCCCAGCCCCTGTCCCTTGCCTCTTCCCACCCCTTGTCCCCTATCATGGGACGTCCCCCCCGTCCCCGGGTGTCCCCCACCCTTATCCCCCTGTAATGGAGTGTCCCCAACCCCTATCCCCTACCACGGGGCGTCCCTAGGCCCTGTCACCGGGTGTAAGCCTGTCCCCGGGTGTCCCTGGTGTCCCAACCCCTATCCCCTGTCACCGGATGTCCCTGTCTCTGTCCCCAACCCTTATCCCCTATAACCGGGTGTCCCCAACCCCTGCCGCTGCCTGTCCCCAACCCCTATCCCCCATCACTGGGTGTCCCCCCCCATCTCCCGCTGTCCCCAGCCCCTGTCACCGGGTGTCCCTGTCCCCGTCACCGGGTGTCCCGGCCCCACCGCCGCCGCTGCTGTCCCGTAAACAGGGTGGCCCCAACGGTGTCGGGTTCCCCCCCGCGGGCTAAAAATAACGGGGTCGGGGGGGGGGGGGGGGGGGTGTGGGGGACACCCAGAGCCCTGCCCCCCCCGCCACCCACTGTCCCCAGTGAGGACGGGGGTTGTAACCCCCCCATGGCACAGGGGGCGTCACAGTGGGTGCCATGGAGGGGAGTAACGGGGGGGTCACCTTGGTTGCTATGGGATAGGGGGCGGGTGACACACTGGCTGCCATGGGGGGGTGTCACACTGGTTCCTAGGGTGGTTGTTATAGGGTGAAAAGGGGGTGACATGCTGGTTGCCATGGTGATGACAAGGTGTTGTCACCCTGGTTATTACGGGGTCACGAGGGGGTGTCACCCTGGTTGCTATGGGGCTTGGAGGGGGTGACACGCTGGTTGCTATGGTGATGACAGGGGATGTCACCATGGTTACAAAGGGACAGAGAAGCTTGAGCACCGCGGTTGCTATGGCAACAACAGAGGCTGTCACCCTGGTTCCTATGGCAATGGCAAGGGGGGTGTCACCTTGGTTATTATGGGTTGGCAAGGGGTGGTTCCCCCCCCGTTGCTATGGAGTCACCATGCCCCCCCCCCCCGGCGACCGAGGGGGCGTGGCCTCCCCGTTGCTTTGGCGACGGAGGGGGCGTGGTCTCTTCGCCACACCGGCGCCGCCGCGCTCCGTCCCCTTAAGCCCCGCCCCTTCCCCCCCGCGCGCGCCCACTTCCGGCTCCCGCCGCCGCTCCTCTGTAGCGCATGCGCAGAGCGCGCGGAACGGCCTGGCCCGAGCGGGCGGAGGGAGCGCGAGCGCCCGGGGGGTCCGTAGGGAAGGGGGGGTGGGGGGGGAGGTCACGTGGGGTGGGGGGAGGGGGAGGGACATGGAGGGGTGCGGGCGGTGGGGGAGGTTCCGGTGGGGGGCCATGGGGGTCTATGGGGCCTAAGGGGGGGGCCGATGTGGGGCTATGGGCGGTTATGGGGTGTCAGTGTGGGTCTGGGGGGGGCTCAGTGTGGGGTTATGGGGGCCTATGCGGTCTGGGGGGGGTCTGATGTGGGGCTGTGGTCGGTTATGGGGCCTGGGGGGGGCCGCTGTGGGGCTATGAGGGCCTGTGGGGTTCCAACGGGTCCCAGTGTGGGGCTGTGGGGGCCTGTGGGGTTCCAAGGGTTCCCAATGTAGGGCTGTGGGGGCCTATGGGGTGACAGTGTGGGTCTGTGGGGGCCCAGTGGGGTGGGATGAGGCAACTCAAGGGGGTTTAACAGTGGTGTGGGGGGATCTATGGGTCCAGGGTGGGATCCATGGGTCTGGGAGGCGCCAGCTATGGGTCTTGGGCTGCTCCTCACCCTCTCTTTCCCCCTCTAGACCCCCCCAAGATGACTCAGTTCCTGCCCCCCAATTTACTGGCGCTCTTTGCCCCCCGGGACCCCATCCCCTACCTGCCCCCTCTGGAGAAGTTGCCTCATGAGAAGCACCACAACCAGCCCTATAGCGGCATCGCCCCCTATATCCGGGAGTTTGAGGTGAGCCCCACAACCTCCCCCCCCCACCCCCTGACCCTTCCCTGCCCCATAACTCACCCCCCATCTCGCCATAGGACCCCCGAGATGCGCCCCCCCCGACCCGTGCTGAGACGCGAGAGGAACGGATGGAGAGGAAGGTACAACCAAATCCCTCCAAATGGGGGGCAGAGGCTTAAAATGCGGGGCTGTGGGGCACAACCCCCTTGCTATGGGGCTGGGGGTGATGGGCAGTCCCCCAGGTCTCAGCATCATTCCCCCATTCAGTTCAAGGCATCTGTATGGGGCTGGTTCTTCTCCCTTTGCTTTTAGTGGATCCCAGCTAGTTTTGGGGTCCCCCTTTGGGGTTTTGGGGTCCCCCCATTGATGTGGGGTGTTTGGGTCTGCGGGTGCCCCATATCTTCGTGTGTGTGTCCCCCAAACAGAGACGGGAGAAGATTGAGCGAAGGCAACAGGAAGTAGAGAGTGAGCTCAAGATGTGTAAGTTGGGGGGGTTCTATGGGGCTGGGGGGGTTCTATGGGGCAGGGGGTAGTCCCCCCATGTCCTCTGACACCCCCTTGCTCTTCTGACTCCCCTGAACCACCTTTTTGGCCCTTTAGGGGACCCACACAATGACCCCAATGCTCAAGGAGATGCTTTCAAGACCCTCTTTGTGGCCAGAGTGGTGAGTGCTGGCGGGGGAGCGAGGGGGGTCCTTCCAGTCTATGGGGCTCCCCCAGTCTATGGGCTTTCCCCCTGACCCCCCTCGATTTGGGGTGTGTCCCCCCCCCATTCCCCCCTCCAGAACTACGACACAACTGAGTCAAAGCTGCGCCGTGAGTTCGAGGTGTATGGCCCCATCAAGCGGGTGAGCAACCCCCCCATAACAAGCCCTCCCCAGACAAACCCCTCCAGCAGCCCCGGCTTGGGGAGTGACACTGCCGGCTTGTTCAGATCTACATGGTGTACAACAAGCGCTCTGGGAAGCCCCGTGGTTACGCCTTCATCGAGTACGAGCACGAGCGGGACATGCACTGTGAGTACCCCCCGCCGCAACACGCCTTTCCCCCCTTACAACCGCATGTCCAACCTCTCTAAGCACAACCCTGCGTCCCCTTTGGGGTCCTGCGGGGCCTGGGCTCTCTCGCAGGTAAGTACAATGCTGGGAGGACCTACAGGCGACTGAGGCAACAGGCGACTGAGTTCCAGGCGACTGGCGGCTGTGGCTGTAGGGAGCCAAGGCTACAGGCGGCCAGGCTGTAGGTGGCCAGGGCTACAGGTGGCCAAGCTCTAGGCAGGCGAAGCTACAGGCGGCCAGGGCTTCCGGTGGCTCAGCTGTAGGCAACTAAGCCTACAGGCGGCTGGGGCTACAGGCGGCTATGCTATAGGTGACTGAGGCTACAGGCGGTTGACCAAGCTGCAGGTGGTGGCCAGGGCTGTGTGTGTTGGCCAAGGCTACAGGCAGACAGGGCTACCAGTGGCTAAGCTATAGGCGAGCAAGGATACAGGTAGTCAAGGTACAAGCGGTTAACCAGCTACAGGCATTGGCTGAGGTTACAGCCCAGGGCTACAGGCAGTGGTGCAGCTATAGGCAGCCATGGTTACAGCTGGCTAAGATACAGGCAACCAAACTACAGGTGGTGGCCAAGGCTACTGTTGGCCTAACTACAGGCAGCCAAGCCTACAGGTAGCTGAGCCTACAGGCAGCAATGCTACAGGTAGCCAGGGCTATAGTTATCTACGGCAACAGGCAGTGGCTGAGGCTACAGGCAGCCAAGGCTACAGGCAGCCAAATGTCAGGCAGCCAAAGCTATAAGCAGTGGCCAAGGCAGCAGGCAGCCGAGGCTACAGGCAGCCAAGCCTATAGTTAGTCAAGGAAACAGTTAATACTACAGGTTGTGGCCAAGGTTACAAGCAACTGAGGCTGCAGTCGGACGAACTACAGGTACCAAAGGCTGTAGTTAACCACAGCTATGGGCAGCTGAGGCTACAAGCAGGCAAGGCAACAGGCAGAGCCAGAGAGAGCTGAGGCTACAGGCGGTCAGAGCTACGGGCAGCCAAGGCTACATGTGGTAGCCAAGGCTACAGTTGAAGCCAAGGCGATAGGCAGTGCCTGAGGCAACAGGCGGTCAACCCCCCCCAGCCAATGCAACAGGCAGTGACCACCAACAGTCGGAGGCTCCGGGAAGCGCCGCTCTCTCCTTCCCCCCCTTCACCCTGTCCCCCCCGCGGTTGTCGCGTCCCCGTGTCCGGTACCGGGTGCGTGTGCGTGCTCGTGTGTGTGTGTGTGTGTGTGTTGCTGGGGGGGGGACCGGGGGGGACGCCTGTTGCCGGCCGGGGTTGTATTAACACTGTTTTATTGTCACTGCAGCCACCTTTGTGATGGCTTTTGCCACTGCTGGCTTGCAGCTGATCCTAGTGCTCCCCCTTCCAACACCTCAGTGTATGGTTGGTATAAGGGTTTGTATGTTGGTAAGACACCTTTTTAACCCCCCCACAACACCCCAAAATACATGGGGAGGGGGGGGGGAAGGGCAGGGGGGGTTCTGAGGAACCCCCCCGGCCCCAAACCCCCCCCTTCACCAACAGGGTTTGGATGGGGAGGGACATGCAGATGCACCCATCGCATCCCAGCACAGCTGGGATGAGAGAGGTGCCATCAACCCCCCCCCCCCCTTTTTGGCTTTTTATGAGGCCCCCCTTGTCCAAAAGAACCCAAATCCCACTTTAGTAGATGGGGGGGGCTTTTCTTAGCCCCCTCCACCTCATTTCTCCCCCCAAACAGGGCTTAAATCCCTTTTGGAATATCCCCACCTACTCTTAACACGGTCACGGCCTCAGTCTCCGCTGAGGTGGGGACGCGTGGCCCCTCTTTTGGGGGGGGGCCCTAAGGAGCCCCCCCTCACACCCTTTGAAGTGAATGGGGAAGGGGGGGCAACAAGTAGGACCCCCTTCCCCCCACTGCCCTTTGCTACTGCCCATGGAGGAAGGAGGGGGGGGCTGTGAGTGGCCCCCCCCCCCCCCCCCGTGGGACCCAGGGTGGGGTGGTGCTCATGGCACCAGTCCCCTCTTAATAAGAGATCTGTTGGGGGACACTCCCCCAAAATACATCAGTGGGGGAACCCAAATAGATAGGTGGGGGGACCCCAAAATAGATCTATTGGGGACCCCCCTAAAGTAGATCAGTTGTGCCCCCTAATATAGATAAATGGGGGGACCCCCATATAGATCACTGGGGACCCGAAAATACATCAGTTGGGGGGACCCCAGGATAGATCAGTGGGGACCCCCCCCAAAGTAGATAAATGGGGGGACACCCCCATATAGATCAATGACGGACCCCCAAAATCGGTCAGTTGGGGACCCCCTGAAGTAGATCAATGGGGGGACCCCAAATAGCTCAACTGGGGCCTCGTAGAAATAGATCAATGTGGGAGCCCCCCTATGATGTTTATGTAGGATCTACAGCATTGCTATGGAGGGGGGCAGCGCCCATAATGGGGGGGTCGGGTCTGGGGGGGGGGGGCTGAGCCCCCCCATGGGTATGGGGACCAAACCCCTCAGTCCCAGTGACGGGGGGAGGGGGATTTAAGGGGGGGCTGAGCCCCCCCAACCCATCCCTATGGGGGGGATGTATGGGGGGGGCCCAATGGGTGGGGGGAGCACCCATGGGTGTGTGGGGGGGTGGTTTTTGGGGGGGGGTCGGGGGGTGATGGGTCTCAGGTAAGGCCCCAGCGCCTGTCCAGGACCAGGAGCTTCCGGAAGGTTCTTTGACCCCCCCCAAGCCGAGGGGGGGGGACACACGGACCAGCCCCCCCCATCATCGTGTACCCCAGGGGGGAGTATGGGGGGGCTGCGTCCACCCTATTGTGAGTCATAGGGGGGGGCTTGAGGGGAGTGTGTTATGGGGGGATGCAGGTAAGGCAACATTGGGGGTGTCCCCCCAAATCAACATGGGGGGGTCCTTATGCAAGTTGGTGGGGGGTTCAATGTGAAGGTAAAGGTGGTTCCCCCCCAAGTCAACATGAGAGGGGGGTCAATGTGAAGGTAAAGGGGTGACCCCCCCCAAGTCAACATGGGGTGGTCCAAATGCAAGTGGGGGGTCAGTGTGAAGGTAAAGGTGGTTTGTTCCCCCTGAGTAACCAACATGGGGGGGGTCAATGTGCAGGTAAAGGGGGTGCATCCCCCCGCAGTTCCATGGTACAGGCTTATGGGGGGGTCACCTTGTCCTTAACCTCTTTGCTTTCCAGCCGTGTATTTGGGGGGGGAGGTACCCCCTTTCCCCCCCCCAGGGCATCCGCAGCCCTTGGTCCTATTGATGCTGATGATGCGTTTGGGGGGGGGGGTTGTCGTTTGGGGGTGGATGGTACCACTTTGGGGAGGGGGGGGGCGGGATGGCAGGTCCCCTTGTTACTAACCCCTCGTTTGTTCCCCCCCCCGTACCCCACTTTTGTCCCCCCTCCCTCGTCCCCCCCTCTTTATAGCCGCCTATAAACATGCTGATGGGAAGAAGATCGACGGGCGCCGCGTGCTGGTGGATGTGGAAAGGGGACGCACGGTGAAGGGATGGAGACCCCGGCGCTTGGGTAAGGACCCCCCCAATCCATAGGGGGTCCCCCCCCCTTTATCCATAGGACTCCCCCCTTGATGTGGCCTCTGTTGCAGGGGGAGGCTTGGGGGGGACCCGCAGAGGAGGAGCCGATGTGAACATCAGGCACTCGGGCAGGGACGATACCTCCCGCTATGACGAGAGGTGAGTGTGGGGCTGGGACCGGGTGAAGCCCCCCTATGGCAGCCCCAGTAGTGGGCCAGGGTACCCCCCCCCCGGCGCCCCTCACGTGGTATCACCCGCAGGGACCGGGAACGGGAGCGGGAGCGGGAGCGCCGGGAGCGTTCTCGGGAACGGGAGCGGCGCCGTTCGCGCTCCCGGGACCGGCGCCGCCGCACGCGGAGCCGCGAGAAGGAAGAACGGGACCGGAAGCGGGGCGGGAGCCGGGACCGCAGCAAAGAGCGAGACCGGAAGCGCCGCAGCCGCTCCCGCGACCGCAAACGGGATCGCGACCGGGATCGCGACAAGAAGGAGGAGGGGCTCGAACCCATGGAGCCCCTCGAGGACCTAGGGGGCAGCGGGGGGATGGGCGGCATTCCCGATCCCGGTCCCCCGGACGGGCTGGGATCCAAAGGGGACGGGGAGGACAAGAGCCGGGAGCGGGACCGGGAGCGGCGCCGCGGGCACCGGGAGCGGGAGCGGCGCCGGGAGCGCGAACGGGAACGGGAGAGGCCGGAGCGCGAGCACAAACGGGAACGGGAGCGTTTGGAACGGCGGGAGGAGAGGCCCCCCGGGCCGGATGCGCAGGATGCCATGGGCGGGGGGGGCGACCCCGGCTCCGAGCTGTTCCTGCAGTCGGATTCCCTCCCGCCGCCCGAGGGGTACATGGGGGCTGAGAACGGGTACCTGATGGAGCCCCCCATGGAGTGAGGGGGGGAGCCCCCAAAACGGACACCCCCAAAATCCCCGTTTTTGTGCTTCAAATAAAGGTGTTTTAATGGAAAGGAGTTTGGGGGTCGTGGGGCAGCAAAATGGGGGGGCATATGGGGAGGGATCCCCCCAAATGGGATGGGGGGACTAAATGGGAGGAGACACCCCCGACATAGGGTGGGACATCCCAGGTAGAGTGGGTTTGCCCCCCAAATGGCGTGGGAGACCCCAGTGAGGGGGGGCCTGAATAGGAGGGACACAACCCCAAATAGGGTGGGATCCCCCCCCAAATAGAGTGGGACCTTCCATATGGGATGGGACACCTCCCGTAGGAGGGCGGGAGCCCCCAAACAGGGACCCCGCTTCCAAATACAATGGGAAACCCCAAATGGGGGGGGGGAGGCACTAAATGAGGTCGGAACCCCCCTCTCGAGATAGGACGGAACCAATCTAAATGAGGTGGAGGGGGGGAGTAAATAGGGTGGGATCCCCCAATTCCCCCATCCCATTTGGGGTCCCTTCACGTGCGGGGGGGGGGGGAGGGGGGGGCTCGGCGCATGCGCGTGTCTCCTTTGGGGGGGCGGGGCGGTGTCGCGCGCGAGGAGCGATGGCAGCGCTGAGCGGGGACGCGCTGGGGCTGGAGCGGGGTGAGGGGAGACCTGGGGGGCAGTGGGGGGCAATGGGGCAATGGGGGCAATGGGGGGCAAAGGGAGGTAATGGGGGCAATGGGGGTAATGGGGTAATGGCAGTGGGGGCAGTGGAGGCAATGGGGGGGCAGTGGCGGTGCAGGGGATAATGGGGGGGTTCAGTGGGGTGCAATGGCCCCCATGACCCCCCAGACGTGGGGCGGGCGGTGGAGCTGCTGGAGCGGCTGCAGCGCAGTGGGGAGCTGCCCCCCCAGAAGCTTCAGGCGCTGCAGAGGGTCCTGCAGAGCAAGTTCTGCTGCGCCATCCGCGAGGTGGGACCCCCAAAACAGCCCCAAGACCCCTCCCCCCCCCCCCCACGGACCCCCACAACAGCTCCAGGACCTCCAAAACCCCCCTTGGGGCCCCAAAACCGGCTCTGGGATCCTTAAAACAGCTCCGGGACCCCAAAACCCCCTCGGGGTCCCCAAATTGCACCCTGGTAACCCAAATACCCCCATGGAACCCTGATATATACCTCGAGGGGACCCCCAACCCCCCTCCCCCCCATTGCCCCTGAAAACCCCCCAGTCCCCACCATCAGCCCCCTGAGGGGGTGGGGGGGTTGACCCCTGGGTACCGGGTACCCGAAAACCAGGGTGACCTCCCCCAAACCCGGGGTGCCCCCCTCCCCTCCCCCCCCCAGGTCTATGAGCAGCTCTATGACACCCTGGACATCGCTGGAAGCCCTGAGATCCGAGCCCACGCTACAGCCAAGGTACCCCCAAAACACACCCAGAGCACCCCAAAACTCACCAAGAGACCCCAAAACCATCCCAGAGCCCCCCCTAACTGACCCAGGGACCCAAATACCCCTCTTGGGGCACCCCATTCGCCCCCCTTTCCCTTGGCCCGGGTCTGTTCCCGTCTCTCACCTGCGGTGTCCCCCCTGCCCGTGTCCATCTGTTCCCTCCTGGCTCCGCCTGTCTCCCCCCCGCGGTGGCCGGTTGCTGTGCCCAGGTCCTGCCCTTGTCCCTGTCACCATGGACCTGTGTGTCCATACCCTATATCCCATACCCAGTACCCTGTATCCTGTA